GACGCCGCGTGGTGCTGGGCGATCTGCTGCACCAGCTCCAGCTGCAGGAGCATCGCACCGGTGTGGGCACCTCGGCCAGGCCGGTGTTTCCGAGCTGCGCGCGGTGGGTGGCGGCTGAAGTTGGGTCCATCCACTTTGGGTCCGAGTTGCCCTTTTGAACTTGGGATCGTGATACATGAAGGTCCATGAAAGAATCATGATACTAATGCCATGAAGGTCCACACTCTCCACCCACTCACCCCCTCTCTCTCCCCGGCCTCCCAGGCAGCCATAGGCTTGCATTATCGTGCCCACAGCTCGTGCCGGAGCTGCCGTCTCCAACGGGACGCGGGGCCAGGCGGGATGGAACTCCAACTGATGCACCGCAGGTGCCGGAAGACCTGGCGGCGCGGTTTGGGGCGTCATAGGGAAGCGCCTGCGCATTGGGGTTCAAAGGAAATGGATGATGTGACCACATGAAGTTCATTTATTCACATGAGAGAGACTTGATCTTGGGAGACCTAGCGAACATTGCAAACGACGAAAGTTAGGCAGTTTGCACTTTGGGGGGAGCTCGCGGGATTTCCTAAGATGTCCATGCTGCACATGCAACAGTATTCTGGAACAGCATTCCAAGAAACTGAAGCCGAAAAACACCGAACCAATGTGTTCACACATGTTCAAGACCTATATTCTAATTAATTGGTTGGACACCTCCGGCTGTCGTTTTTTCTTGGGACGGCTCAATGTTCGGCTTAGGGCCCTTTTGAGATGTCGAAATGACCGAAAGGGCCACCGACCTTCCAAAGAGGTGGCAACTTTGCCAATCTTCTTTATCAGGGGTGGAGTCTCTCCTGAACGGGAATGTGGAACTGTCGGGTTGAAGAACTTTGAACGTGATGATCGCTCTCGCCGTCGGAACTGGCGCCTTCCTGCTGGAGGTCGATCAGGTGCCGCTCGGCGAAGTTGCTGACGCCCACGGCCTTGAGCCAGTTGGACTGCTTCATCTGCAGCAAGGCCTGGTAGGATTCCTGGTTTCCGTGCGTCAAAGAAGCGATGATGAGGCAACAAAAGACCTTCTACTGAGGTGGCGCAGCAGAAAAGAGAAGAACGAAGGGAAGACAGAGAGGGAAAGAAGGCGAAGAGCATGTCACAAGCTCTTTTGAGAGCTTGTGGTGTTGATCTGGACAAATTAACTCAGTACAAGGGGAACATGGAACATCCACAGGTTTGGATTGGTTATGAGTCAGTAAGCAGCTGGTTTATGTATCTACAGGTTACAGGGTGTGAATCCAATCCCACAGCTCCAAACATGTAACATGAGAACCAGTTCTGCTTTAGACTGTTGAAGGTATTTTAAGGTCTTTGACCGCGACGACTTGCCATGACAGACAAATGAAGGCTCAATCGTTTCTTCCTTTACGAACGGTCGACATTGTAAGGTAAATTACCCCTCTAAGATCCACTGTCGTTTCCTGTTTCACCACATCTGTGGGGGATCTTCCCTTGGCATAGCCAAACTGGCCCAAACCGGCCCAGAAGCGACTGGACATCGAAACAAGATGGAGCCCACGAACCCGAATGCAAACACGTTCGAAAAGCTACATATGTCCAAATGACACTCTTGTAGGACACTCTTGTGGGACACTCTTGTGGGTCACTCTTGTAGGACACTCTTGTGGGACACTATTACGGGACACTCTTGTGGGACACTCTTGTGGGACACTCTTGTGGGACACTCTTGTGGCACACTCTAGTAGGAAACTCTTGTGGGACACTCTTGTAGGACACTCTTGTGGGACACTCTTGTGGGACACTCTTGTGGGACACTCTTGTAGGAAGCTCTTGTGGGACACTCTTGTAGGAAACTCTTGTGGGACACTCTTGTGGGACACTCTTACGGGACACTCTTGTTGCACGCTCTTGTAGGACACTCTTGTGGGTCACTCTTATGGGACACTCTTGTCGGACACTCTTGTGGGACACACTTGTGGGACACTCTTGTGGGACAGTCATACGGGACACTCTTGTGGGACACTCTTGTGGGAGACTCTTGTAGGAGACTCTTGTGGGACACTCTTGTAGGAAACTCTTGTGGGACACTCTTGTGGGACGCTCCTGTAGGACACTCTTGGATACTCTTGTGGGACACTCTTGTGGGACACTCTTGTAGGAAACTCTTGTGGGACACTCTTGTAGGACACTCTTGTGGGACACTGTTGCGGGACACTCTTGTGGGACACTCTTAAGGGACACTCTTGTGAGACACTCTTGCGGGACACTGTTGCGGGACACTCTTGTGGGACACTCTTGTGGGACACTCATTTGGGACACTCTTGTAGGACACTCTTGTGGGACACTCTTGTGGGACACTCTTATAGGACACTCTTGTAGGAAACTCTTGTGGGATACTCTTGTAGGACACTCTTATGGGACACTCTTGTAGGAAACTCTTGTGGGATACTCTTGTAGGACACTCTTATACGACACTCTTGTGGGGCACTCTCGTGGGACACTCTTGTGGGACACTCTTATAGGACACTCTTGTGGGACACTCTTAACTCTTGTGAGACACTCTTGTGGGACACAGTTGCGGGACACTCTTGTGGGACACTCTTGTGAGACACTCTTACGGGACACTCTTGTACGACACTCTTGTGGGACACTCTTGTAGGACACTCTTGTGGGACACTCTTACAGGACACTCTTGTTGCACACTCTTGTAGGACACTCTTGTGGGTCACTCTTATGGGACACTCTTGTCGGACACTCTTGTGGGACACACTTGTGGGACACTCTTGTGGGACACTCTTGTGGGACACTCATACGGGACACTCTTGCGGGACACTCTTGTGGGACACTCTTGTAGGAGACTCTTGTGGGACACTTTTGTGGGACAATGTTGTGGGACACTCTTGTGGGACACTCTTGTAGGAAACTCTTGTGGGATACTCTTGTAGGACACTCTTCGTACGAGACTTCCTCCAAAAGTCCAGCGGCAGCACCCATCAGAGCACACACATCATGCAACCCTGCCAAGCAGTTTCGCGATTCCAGTCCCTCCAAACGACACCCGCTCAAACGCCAATCCCAATGTGACAGCGACATTCACCTCTACCACAACTCACAACCTCCCGATTCA